TGTCAATCCATTATGTGAAGTTGTCAATCCATTATGTAAGGTTGTCAATCCATTATGTAAAGTTCTCAATCCGTTATGTGACGTTCTCAATGAGTCATGCGGGGAGCTATCCCTTTAAATAGCCCGTGTAGAATTATGTGAAGTAGTGAATCCATAATGTGGTGTTGTCAGCGAATTACGTGTAGTCAAAGCATTATGATCCACCATTGTGGAGCTATCCCTGTGTAGGAGCTGTGGTAGTTTTCTTTGGGTACGGCCGAACCGTGGCCATGCAACACACTAGCAGGACAAACTTAAGCTTCACAAAAAAATGAACTAATGATAGGATCGCTATCAATGGGACTGTTGTAAAGGATGATGCAAGATTTGATCATAAGGAAAAAGGTACATGTACATACAATCAGAGCTGCGCAGAAGCATGGCGCATGTTAGTCATGTTCATCATTTAGCATGTTGTATCTGCATTCTAAATGTGAACATAAAAACTATATACTCAAGTGGCTTAAAAAGTAACCAAGAAACATGTTAATAGCTTGCAAGAGATTCAACCCACCCTTTGTCAGTATTTGGAAGATTAATTAAGGGGGGTGTAGCAAGATGTAACCAGATTGGACACTCAATAGAAGTTTGGACTTCTTCGGAGACAAACTTCAAAAATAAGATTAAGCCCTAGGCTCCTTCAAAAAGGTAGGACTTGTGTCAACCCGGCAAGTGCACTAAAACTGAGAAAGAGATCTCGCTTTTCTTTCTTCTGCTTTATGATGGCCTGCTACACGCGCGATGTCGAACGTCAGATACACGTTTTGAAACTCCGGCTCTCTGCGCCGGTAAACCTAATGGGCCTGCAGGCAAGTTATGTGTTCAACGGTGATGGCAAGTGAGCGGCCTTGCAAAAGATCGATACGACTAACACACAACACTGAAATCAGGAAGCTCAATATGCACATACATAGGTATCACCACCAGTGAATTCCCTCTCCATGCTGGTCGCAAAAACCTAGAGTACATCAGCCAGCAGAGATCTCGTTCATGAAGCTGCATGCTTTACTACTTTTGAAAGTCCATGTAGTAAAGAAGTAAAAGTAGCCTTGTTGACGCTGATCCCCCACAAATCTCATCTACAACAGCAACCTTCTTGGAATAATCCTGAAACCATTTTAAAAATAAAGTCCATTGATTATTCTTTCAACATTACTCGCACAGACAGGTTTCCCTTGCTATATTTTTAAGAGAAAACGCCCCTTTTGAGACAAGTCTTGAAGAACACTCCATTCAATACGGGCGTTTCACAATAGTGCGCCTCTAAGCGTTTGCAACGCGTTGGCCAATCACAACGCGCGAAATCTGTCGACCAAATGCGCATTTTGAAATGGTCGACAAATTTCGCTCGTTGTGATTGGCCAACGCGTTGCAAACTCTTGGAGGCGCACTATTGTGAATCGCCAATATTTAACACCGTGACGTAGAGGCGATATGAATACTTACGAACCTTCCCCGTGAACATATGTACATACTAGAAGATTTTTAATCAACCTGCCATGGTGTCTTGCCTTTAATTCTGGTTGTTCCTTAAACCTTATTTTGTAAATCATCATCACTGAAACATGTTGACTGTTTACTGGCTAAAAATACTAACTTTTCTTGGAGTAAATACATGCGCAACGATTGATACGAGAAAAAATGTACTATCTATTAAAAGGATTTAGTTATAAGTACAATGAAATAATAGAAAGTTAAAATTGAAAATCAGTCTTTTGAAATCTGTCTACAGCCCCCAAAATAATGGAACTATTGAGTAACCACTATCTGATATAAACTCCTCAGCGCGGCTATAGATACAGGACATTCACATATTTTTTAGATACCGTGAGTCCCCCCAAAAAAAGCTTTGCTTGTATTAAAATAGCTATCCATCGATATTGATCTTATCAAGGTGCAAAATGTTCACTAACGTTTTCCATTAAAATTCTGACAAAAGATGTGCAAATCAAAAATTTTTAACGTGGGCTTCATGCTGCTTGTGTGCTGCTTGTCCACGTTTTGACCTTGCCCACAGAACTAGAAAGCTACCACGGCCCGTACACAGTGATAGTAGTAGTAGCAGTAATAGTAGTAGTGATAGTAATGGATTCACAATTTCACACAATGGATTCACTACTTCAATAATGGATTGACAACATCACTTAACTGATTGAGAACTTCCCATAATGGATTGAGAACTTCACACAATGGATTGACAACTTCACAT